GCAAACGAACACAAAATTTAAAAAATTGTCGGGTAAAAATTATACCAAGCAAACACACTTAATTAATAATTCCCTGCAAAATATTTTTTAAGCAATTACTCTCCCTGAAATTCATTTTCTTTGCAACAATTTTCCATCCTTGCAATCAAACGGAACTAAAAACAATGCTTCTCCCCACGCAATTTAAGACGAGGATCGAGCACTCCAACTAGGGAAAAAATAATTATTACACAAACAAGTATTTTTGAAAATATTTTCCATCTTGATACATACTTAGGATAATGGAGAATATTCATCCCTGCACTGTAAAAGGTTAAAGAAATATTTAATAAGAGTATAACAAAACTTTAATTGAAAAAATGAGATTCGCATTGCATAAAAGACAAAAATATGTTTAACAATCATAAAATAAAATGAATACATTCCATTCATCATGAGTCAAAATAGGTTCAATTCAAATTTGATGACAAAAATAGTTATCTCATTATCTAATGTACTTCTCAACTAATGTCATTGCTATAAAATCGTTGCCCAATTTGAACAATGAGGATAAGGTTTTGAGTCAACTCATCTTTCAGGTTCGCAACCCTTAATAATTTATGAAAACTTATGATCACCTTAGCATTCCCCAATGATGAAGTATTTGTTTCTACAAATGGGAACAATGGATAAAACTGTAAAGATTTAAAAAACGACGTGGCAATGAAGAAAGCACATTGTTTGACCACTACGAGATGCTATCTTTTCAGTTGCAATTAAAGCATGCGTACTACGGAATAGTATGTCGAATCCAAGCTACCAGATTTCGTAGGAAAGCTGGTTCATTAAGGACAGATTACATACGATATCAAAGATTCAAAGAATCCATGATTTCAATTTCAATCACGAAAAGCGTCTTTCAGATATCGCATCACATATTTTATCTACCATCACTGTTATTTTGTATTATGAGGAGGAATAAATGCAGTTATTTTTAATGAATAATCGAACTGATGGGAACCCACGTGGAAATTATTGCTAGGAAACCCACAACAGATTAGATCAAAACCAAAAAAGCCAAAAATCAATGTTTGAAAGTTCGATCTAATAAATTATAGAACCAAAGAACCAAAACAATTGAAATCAATATCTTGACCTCATGATCACAAAACCCATGAACCACACTTGAATTGTTGAATTGCATAAGAAATCAATTCTTAATAAGTTCGAGTTTAGTTCAATGAACAAGTTAAAAGCAATATGTCTCGCAATAATATCTCAATAATTGTGTGTTTTTGCAATAAATAAAGAAAGCCTGGTTTATAGGAAATCAATAAAATCCTAGATAATCTTGAAATTATGGTAAAATTTACCAGTAAGAAGAATTCTAACAAAACTCGCCCAGATTTTACTCTATGCCACATAGATTTAGGAGCTGTGAAATACTCCATGTTGCATGAGATGCGATCGCACCCCTTATGAAGCTATGCGGCCGCATAGCCTCCCGGTTGAGATTATTCTTCCTTTGCTTGAATTATGTTTATGCATCTTGTTTTCACTTCCGAGCCCAACATGAAACTTGTCCATTTGCTTGTTATGATCAATGTTTCGTCCACCATGGCTTGAGCAAATAATCTCATGACTTCATTAACCTTTTTTACTCATGATCTAGTCGTTGGTCATTCATCTACAATCAACGATTCTTGTCCTTGCTAGCCTTCATATCATGGTTCTCATCATTCCCTCACTCTTCAAAAAGATTCATTCTCGAATCTTCAACTGCATCAAATAGAGAAAGATAAAAAACATTATACTCACCTGGAAGATTCAACTTATAGGCTTTATCATTAATCTTTTCAAGCACTTGGAATGGTCTATCTCCCCTTTGTTGCAACATTAACTTCCTTTGAGCCAGAAAGCGTCTCATATGTACCTAAACACAATCTCCTGGTTCAAATGTAACACGCTTCCACCCTTTATTTGCTTGGGAAACATAATGCTAATTTTTCTTCTCAATTTGGCACCTACCTTCTCATGGAATGATCTTACCAACTCGACATTCTTCTTTCCATCTAAGCTATATCTTATATCAACAAGTAAAGGAATTAAATTCAAAAGTCTTAGTAGATTAAAATCATAAAAAATTTCAAA